TTTTGATGGCTTCCTGCTTCACCCCGTCAAAGAAGTTGGACTGGATGGTGCGAGACACGGAGCGGGCCCCGTCCTTCAGCTTCCCCACCTGCCGAGAGCCGGACCACGGGCCGTGAGACGGAATCCCGCAGGCCCCCATCCTTCCCCACACTTCCCTGCGGCCTGCCCCGACCTTGGCCTTCCCCTCCAGGGCCCGACTGCCCGTGAACATCTTGCTCAGGCTGTGCCCATTCAGGGACCACATGGCTTTGAAGGACTCCACGAAGCGGTCGGCGACGGGCTTTGAACTCAGCCCCAGGCTCTCGAGCTGCAGGTGAAGGACCTGATGAGAAGAGACAGCTGTCACTGACTTCTCACCCGTAAGCTCCCCCACAGCCGCCTCGGGGACCGCCACCAGGCACCACCCCCCGGGATCACCCTGTGCCTCTCCAGTGGACGAGGAACCCTTGCGTCAGAGATGGGGGCTTCTACCACAACCCCCGCCCAACGCTCTCTAACTTTATCACCCCACCCAGCCCTGGCCAGCAGGGGCAGGCAGGTGGGCAGGCCTAGAGGGCAGGTGCTGAGGCCCCGCCCCACCCCCAGCAGGGAGCCAGGCGCCGTTTCCCTCCCAGGCCTCAGACCCAGCCTCACCTCGCCAGCCTCACATGGCCCATTCCCGGTACCCCTTACACGGCACCTGTGTTCCTCAAGGCGCACCTGGCACCTTGGGCCACCGTTAAGGGGCGGCAATCCAAAAGGTGCATGAAAAGTGTGCCTGTGACAGGTCGCAGGCGAGCCGGCTCCCCGAGAAAACCTCTCCCCAGATGCCAGGCACATCCCATCCCGCTGGGCCAGCGAAGCCACCCTTGTCTTGCAGATGAAGGCGCTCGGCCCAGCCCGCTCCGCTGAAGGCCCGGGGACGTGGCACAGGGGGGCAGCGGCAGGGACAGACCTCAAGCGCAAGGAAGCTCTGCACCGCGTTGGTCCGGTCCAGGCAGTCGAGACAGTTCATCCGCAAAGTGCCTTTCTGAAAACTTAGGAAAACGATAAGAAACGCGAGTGACTCACATGTTCTGTTGGAAGGAGCAACGGCTGTAGCACAGTGGCCTGTGTCTGTAGGCCCCCGAACCAACTCGTACCCCTCACTTCCTCCTCGTAGCTCACCAGGACCCCCCTTTACACCCCGACGGTCCCCAGCGCACATGCTCAACAGCCCCGCACACCTCGGTCATTATGAATAGTCAACTCTCGTGACTCACTGTAGTCACGGTCTAGAAAGTTCCTGTGAACAACTGGTGAAATGAACTATGAGCAAGTGAGCAATGCTGAACCACGCTGAGAGGGACAGCACCGCGTTAGGCTCCTGCGGGCCTCCGGTCACACACTTTCATCAACTGACCAACATGTAACCTTATTTAATAGACATTGTTCATTCATTAACCCTGAACTCGTGGCCAACGGCACGCTCACGCATGAATGAAGCTTCCTAACACACGTGTTTCCTCTGCAAGACACATCACATCCTCCTTGCGCTGAGAAGCCCCAGACAGTGATTACCGCCATACGAGGGGCCGTTTTAAACAGTGACATTGCCGACAACACGCAAGAAAATGTGAAAACGTGGCAGTAACAAGATGGCCGAAAGGACACTTGTGACAGCATAAGGCTGTGTTCGACCTCCGCTGGGACGTGCACACTAACCGACTCAAAGTGTTTACTGTTCTGAGCACATCTGTGAACACGCCATGAGTGTCGATTTTACGGTGACAAATTTTAGCGCGTGGGCAAATTTACAAATACAGAATCCCGGGGTGGACGGGAGTGTGAGGACACTGGCCGTCCTTTTCCTCCTCAGCTCTGAGCAGGGAAATCATAGCCCGGGTTCCCTGGGCAGCTGGGACCAGGCCAGCTGTTCCCCTCCACCCTCATGGGTTTTCATCGCCATCTGGACGGGTTATACGGTGACCGCAGCTCCACATTTTACTCCAGTCCCTCTGTAGTCGATGCGTGACGCTGTGCTATCTACTCACAAAAGCGAGTCCTGATTGAGGGGAAGGGGCCGGAGAGGCCGGAACCCCAGGTCCCCAACACCGCTGAGCCGGCGGCCCGGCGGGGAGGGGGGCGAGGACGGGGCGCAGGCGGAGACTCACCGAGGACTTACGTCCTCGCCCCGGGCGAACACGTCGAAGTCTTCCCAGTGCAGCTTTAACTGGGGCCTCAGCAGGTTCTCCAATTTCTCTAGCTTCCCGCCTTTGGCAAACTGATGGAAGTCGAAGTTTATCATAGGCGTGTCACCGGCGTGGCAGGAAGCCCAGAGCAACTTCTGAAAGGGGAAAGGGAGAGGGTGGCAGGGGACGAGGGCAGACAGACAGCCACTGTGAGCCTCTCCCGGCGGGAACCTGAGTGGCTAACACCGTCAGTCACCAGATCGCAGGGCTCAGCTTTGCGGCTTATGGTGGACCCAAGGGGTGGTGTCGGTCCTGACCCCGGAAGAGAAGCACAGAGCAGACCCCGGGGACGAACCCAGAAAGAGCATCTTGCCTACAGAAGGGCAGAAGGTCCCCCTTGGGCCAGTGGCAGCCAGGCGGGAGAGGCTCCCCGGGCAGCCTGCAGCCCCGCTCCGACATCGCCCCCCTGCCGGGGTCTCCGCGGGCACCGGGGACGGAAGACCACTCTGTTCTTCGGGCACCCAAGTGCCACAGGCCCATCGGGCACAGGGCAGCGCAGCAGGCTGGGAGCTCATAATCCAGCTCACCGTTGCCCTGGTAACCGGCCCCATTTGGACACGCGCAGGCCTCCAGGTGGGTGTGCTCTGAAGCGGCTGGGTCTCCCAGCAGGCCCTCCACTGCTCCTGGCAGAGGCCTCCCTTCCATAGGTGCAACCTCACCGATCACTCTGCAGCTCGCTCACCAGACAGCCCCGTGGTAGAGGAGGAACTGGCTGCCTTCCCAGGAGACCTGGCTCAGGCCTCCCCCTGCCCCACATGGCTTCAGGTCAGACTTGTCCAGATAGTCTAATGACTTTGAAGGACTAGAAGGACTTCGGGCCATCGGCTCCCTATGACTCAAAGTACCCGTCCACCACGGGCAAGGATGCAAACCAATGCATGGCTGCCCTCATTAAGAAAGTCTTGCTATGAAAAAGAAGTCGCTCAACTCAACAGTGTGTCACTTACTGCCATTACGTTCTGGAGCAAGCACCTTGTCCCCTTGTGGCCTGAAAACCACCAGGTCACAGGCCGGCTGCAGGTACATGGACCTCAGCACTCAGAGGTGACTGGGTTGGGGGACTGGGGCTCCACATGACACCCCGGTCAGGTCCCCTGCAGGCGGCATGTCAGCCTCCTACCTCCTGCCTGCCCAGGATCCTGCCCTCCCCGATGTGGGCCATGGGACTGTTGCCATATCCTGTGACAAGAGCCCACTGGCTCGGGGGGCTTCTACCAGCCGACGGGGCTGACGGACATTGTTGCCCCATAACTCAAGGCATGATGAGATTCTTGAGTTCTTCTTCCTTTTTTGCCTTTGTTTTTCCTTATTCCTTAAAATAAGCTGCCAACATTGCTGCCAGGATGGGTGAAGGGAGATAATTCTCAAGCTTGTTGCTAACAGCAACAAACCAAACAGGAAAAGCAGGTCTGGCCATAAGAAACTGGCAACCACAAAGTCTGCTCCAGGCCCATGGCTTTCCTATGCGGAGTGAAATGAACACCCAGCTGGACTGGGCGGCCAGCAGCCAGGGGGCAGGGAGGCAGCAAAAGCCACTTCTGGTGAGGTCTTAAGGCAGACTCCATCGGGGGCTTCCGTGACCGCGGAACAGCCACAGGGCTTGTCTCTATTACGTGGGGACCATGGACAACTAGGAAAGGACCGTGGAGGCACCCGAAGCCCCTTCTGTAGCTTCTCAAGGAGCAGACTAGAGACACGAGCAGACACGAGAGCTGAGGACACGGAGCGACCCCAGAGGGCGGGGTGGGGGTGGGGAGCCTCGTGCTCTGACTGCTTCGTCCCCTGTCCAGGTTTCTCCCCACACCTCCCTGGCCCAGCACAGCGGAACCCAGGGGAGCCCAGGCAGCAGGCATTGGAAGCAGCCCAAACAAGGCTGGGGGGTTTGAAGGCGCCAAGACAGCAGGAGGAAATCACGCGAGACGCCTTGCTTTAAACGAGAAGAGCCACTCCAGGCACGAGTGCCCGGCGGGTGTTTGCATGAACGTGCCAGGAGGTGTGCTCAGCGGCTGAGCGAGACCAGGGAGGGAAGGGGGAGCTCAGGTTCCCTGACCGGGTCAGGGGTGCGTGGGGCGAAGCCCAGACACGTGCGAGCGTGTGCACGTGTGCAGGTGGGTGAGCGTATGTGTGTCCATCCTAGAGAGCCGGGGATGGGCCCAGCTGTCCTGAGTCTCCAAGGTCCCAGCAGGCAGTACCGAAGGAAATGCAGCTGGACACAGGAGATGTTCTGTTTGACTTTGGGCAAATTAGCCTTGCCATGAGTTCATAAAAATTACACTTGACCCATCAGGAGGCCAAACCAGCTACTGCTGGAGCTCTTGGTGGGTGGAAGGGAACGGACCTCCCAAACATGGAGAGAGCTGCCCTGTTGCTTCCAGCCCCCCACAAAAGCCTGCCTCTGAGCGGGGGCCCACCGCCTCCCCATCCACCCCGCCCCCACCCACTGTGGAGACGCGGGCGCCACGTTACCTTGAAGGCTCGGTTAAGCACCTCCTCTCCGCCTCTGCTCCCCAGAAGGTTCACGACCACCTGCTTCCCATACTGCTCCTTCAGAAGCACCATATGCCTGCAACAGAGCAGCACAGCCCGGTGACCCCATGTCTCCAGGACACAGGTGGACAGCCCTGCCCACGAGGGGAGACGGGGTGGAAGGGACGGGCTGGGCACCAGGATCTAGGATGAGCCATTCTCCATGACAGCCGTCCTCCAGGCCAGGAGCAAACACGGCAGATCAGACTCCTAGACAAGCATGACATCAGAGGACGTGCTGGACTTCCTATAAAGCACCCCCATTAACTCCAGAACAGCGAACCTGGCCTTTCCTCGACGGAGCCTTTAAATGCACGTGCACGTCTCCAATTAATCTAGTTCCTTTGGTCCTGTCTCTCCTTTTCCAAACTAGAAAAACTGAGAGAGCTGTCAAACTCAGAGTCCGATTGTTACCTAAGTGCTGCATTTCATGATGCTTGACCCAAACAAGAAGGCACGACAAAATTTCAGTCTTTAGAAAAATCTGTATATCACGAACCATTTTAAAAATATATGTGCTGAAATGTTAGGGAGAGACGCTAATATTTATCTTTTATCACCAGCTTTTGAGAACTACAATTGTAATCATGTTAGGAATGCTTAAATGCAGTTAAAAAAAAAAAAAAACAAGGAAAAAACAAAATGCAAAAAGCAAATGTAAAACTGTAATTTAATAGGGTGATCTTTATGCCTAAATATAGAAAAAAGGCTGGACGATAACACTGTGATGTTAAAAGTGGTGGGATTTTATGTCATTTAAAATTCTTTTCTTCTTTAAACATTTTCATGTTTTCTGAATGTCTACAATGACATGTTTCTTTTACAGATTTTTTTAAAGTTAATTATCACAACAGAACCGTTTTTAGCCCAATAAGAGAAAAAACACTCCCTTAATAACTCTGAGGGGCAGCATTGTGTAGCAGGAGAACATGATTCTGAAGTGGGTGATCTCGGCTGCCCGGCTGACGAATTAAGGGGGAGTCTACCCCGGCTCCTTCTCTCGGAGTGATGCTCCTGGCCGCCCTGCCTCCCTGCAGTCCCTCCCGGGGGAGACGGAGGGCTTGGTGAGGTCAGTGAAAGCAGAAACTCTGCACAAGCCGGCAGGCTGTGCACTGTCCCTAGAGCTAAGCCACGTGGCAGCCCTGGGAGAGGGTGCCCGAAGAAACGGACATGCGTGGCCTGGCCCCTCTGGGCTCTCCTGCGTCCGCCGCCCAGGGAAGGCGTGTCAGCCGGAGGTCTGACACGTGGACCCAACGGCAGGCTCTGCTCTGGTGGGGAGTCTGAGCCATCGGGCACTGCGTGAGCATCCTTCTCTTAGGGGTGAAATTCGAGGAAGCCGGTTGTGGCCACATATCCAAGCCGTACTCAGGCCACAGTGCACCTTATCAGAAATAAAGCTGATGTCTGATCTCCAAGTGACTGATCTCTGAGCTTACATCTCAGCTGGTTCCCAATTCCAAGATTGGGAGAGAAACGATATTACTCATTATTCATGTCGCCGGTCCCAAAGACTCTTGATCAAAGTATGCACCCTCTGAGCGGGCTCCTTCGTCTGTACCATAAGGGTGATGCTCATCTCGTAAGAATGGCCGTGAGGACCGAAAGGTGAGTAACAGTGACAAGTGCTTGGCACACGATAGTTTTTCTTTTCTTCCTTATAATTTAAAATTAGGATAGTATATTTATTGATAATTAAAAGACTCATTTCACTGGCTCTGAGGGGAAGAGGCGTGGAGTCCACTCCGAGGTCAGCACGAGTAAGACTCACCCTGGCCTTGGTGGCCCTGTGCATTTAGGGCCTTTTCTGGCCCATCTGTTACTGTTAGGTGGAGCTCCCTGGAAAACTGTGGGGTTTTTCAGGACAGTGAGGAGCCGGGATTCCAGCATCTTTCTCATATTCAGGGCACAACTGAGGGACCGAGAGCTAAACACACCCTAACGTCCAGACACCACCAGCTCCACGCAGAAGGAGGGAGGGCGGGGCCAGCAGGTGTTCATGGTCACGCAGAGCGAGGCCCAGGCATGGCCCCCAAAAAGGTCAGTGCTTTCATCATAACTGCACCACCTGCGAGACATGATCGTCCCCAAGCAAGATCCTCCCCAAGCAAGATCCTCCCCAAGCGGTCACGGCCAAAGGCCTGCTCGAAACAGGTATGCGGCAGACAAATACAAGAGCAGCAGTAAGTAACACTGACAAACAAGTATTCTGTGTATTAAAACTACCCACATAAAGGGTTTTTTTTTTGGCGTGAGGGAAGGGGAGGGATTTACTCTGGACTAAGCACATGGAAGAACTGAGAAACTCTTCAGAGCCTCTGGATGTCCCAGAAATTTGGGGCACCCCTGCATGGGGTGACACAGCCCTGCTCCATAGGGGGCCACAGCGCCCCACCACAGCTGACAGAGAAACACATGACCTCACTTTCAAACACCACTCACGAATGAGAGTGACCTGGTTAGTAACCAGCCTGAGCAAAGGAGCACCTCCCCCCGGACACGGATGAGCAGGGTTCTAGTCACCCTTTCCCGTTAGAAAGTATTTAAAAGAGCGAGTTCCTGTACGCCAGGATGTTAAGTGGCTGCCTGTAAAAGGACTTACAGTCGTAGAGAAGTGTTTGGTGAGTCACAGATTTAGGGAAGGGAGCATGTGAGCAAGGAGCGGGCTTATTCTTCTGAGTAAGCGTACGTACACAGACACACGCCACACAGACACACACAGACGCACGCGCACACACACACACACTAACAGGATTTAAATGACTGTAAGTCTGTGTAAATGTTCTTAACTTTTTTTTAAGCTCATAAACACATGAAGGTTTTTGAAACAAGCCCAGCATGCCCCTCCCCTTTTGCTTCTGGTCAGCTCAGGAAGAATTTCATTTTTAGTTATGTGTTTACTATTTCCTAAGACATTTAATGTAGAACCGCGTCAACTGAAAAAACAAACCAACCAACCAACCCATGTACCGTGTGGAGGACACAATAATAGTGTTCGGGGAAAAGGCAAAAGCATCTCCACTCCCAGGCCCCACCCTCTCCAGTAAAAGTCTAGCACTGGGACTGTGCTAACGATGGGGTCGCAGCTGGGCTGCTGTTTCCGGTCTGGTAAACACGAAGGCAGCAAACACACAAAGTCCAAATGAAGCTTCGGGCAGAAGGATTAAAACAGTAAAAAATTATTTTTTGAATTTTTATGATATTAAGTTTGAAACTCAGTATTTAGTTTCAAAAAGCAAATATTTGAGGAAGATAGTAACTATTTTGAGTTCAAAATACTAATAGTTCAGGTTAGCAATGGCTTTTCTTGAGCAAGCTGTAAAATACTGTTATAATCCAATTTGCGCTTTAAAAAAATGAACTATGTATATGCCTTTTTTTTTCCTAGAATGATACACAGTAAACAATGAATAGTAAAACAATAAATAGTAAACAACAAAAATAGTAAAATCTCTAGTAGCAGAAATTGGGAGTTAGGGGACTTTTACCTCTCACTTTATACCTTTCTATGCAGTGACTTCTTAAAACCTGGGAATATATTACTTTTAAAACAAAACAGCTACAAACATCCTATAATTTAGCTGATCCCTTACGAACCAGTACAGATGGATGAAGCTTCACTGCAGAAGGAACTGTTGAGATAGAAATAAAACCTCCTCACCTGGGGAGGGAGGAGGTAGATGGGGAAAAAGGGGTCAAATATGTGGTGACAGAAAGAAGTCTAACTATGGGAGGTGAACACACAATGCAAAATACATGTGCCTCACTGTTGAATTGTACACCGGAAACTTACTGGATTTCATCAACCAACGTCACCATTAAAAAATTAATTAAAAAAAAAACACAAAACCCGAAAACCAAAGTGTCACCTGAGCATTTATACTGAAACTTCAAGTACCCGAGAGGAGCTCAAAATCTCATTTTGGAAACTCCCTTCTTGCATAAAGGACCAAAGTAAAAGGCAGGTTTAGGTATAGGGTGTGCGGCCCTTCGCTTCCTGCTGCATCCGACCCCTGTGCTGCTGTCTGACGGGAGAAAGACCCCAGAGGATGATAGGCTTAGGGTGGTGTCAGACGACTCTACCTGTCGAAAGCAGGGGCGTTGGCTTCCAGGCCTCTGGTGAGTTTCAGATGATGGGAGCCCACCTAAAACAGGGAGAAATAACACCAGTGACTCCTCCTGCTCTGCGAACCCAGGAAGCGATGGTTTCCCCACGGCCCCCTCACTGCCGGCCAGGCCCCACGCGGCCCGTTTCCAGCCCCCTGTACCCACCCCCACCCCCCATCTCAGGATGGCCAGGCCTGGCACTCAGGTCCCACAGCCTGAGCCTGGCTCCGTGTGGCCCAGTCCCAACCTCAGCATGGACCACGTTGCAGAAAATCTTCCACAGACAGGACAGACCCCAGGTGAGACTGCGGGAGGCCCACGAGCCCTTCGGTGGCGAGGGATGCAGCTGGGCCCGGGAGAGACCAGTCCCTAGACTTCCCTGCGGCAAGGGCGGCCGTGACTGCCCCAAAAACCTGAGTTACAACTACCCACAGACTACTTTGCCTTATTATTTCAAACTACCTGTTAAACACAGGAAGTTTCAAAAGCAAACATAAAACGACATGTCGTTGGAGCCAGCATGAAGGAGTTCTCTCTAGACAAATCTGGGATGTTGAGCATTGAATTATATAAGGACAATAATGGATTATAACCTGAAGCATAAAATGGGAATCCATGAATCTATACGGATGAGAGCTGGCTGGATGGGTGGGTGGGCAGAAGGGGGCACTCTTCTTCCCAGGAGAAACCAACTGACAGATGTGCGGGGGGCGGGGAGGGGGTGGCTGGCAACTCCATTTTATAAACTGTACAGCAAAATAAAGAACTGTACAGCAAAAATCATCCATGGATCATAAACGTGAGGGGAGAGTTGGATGAGGAACGAGATCTTCGCATGGTCCCCAAGTGTCTCCCACAAATTGCTTATTAGTTGAAAAGGAAAACATGAACTCTAAGAAACATTAGCACCTTGCCCAGGTGATCAAAATGAACGTCACCGATGAGGGGCAGAGGGACACCGTGGCCTCCAGATGGGACAGCCTGCAAAGGACATGGCCTCAGGGAGCCACACTCTGAACCCGATCATAACAAAACACCAGGAAACACCAAAATGAGGTACATTCGACTAAAAGAAAAAGACCTGCCTTCTCCAAAAATGTCAATGTCACAAAAGACAGAATGACTGACGAACTGACTCAGATTAAAGAAGATGAGAGATGTGACGACTAAATAGTGGAACGGGACCCTGGCCTGGACCCTGGACTGAAGGGGTAAAGGTGTCATGACAGACGTCACTGAGACCACAGATAAATCTGGAATGTGGGCTGCGGGTTAGATGAAGGCATGGCGCCCGTGTTCCATTTCCTGACTGGTACCTGTCTTTGTTCTTCGGAGAAACATCCTGACGTACTAAGGAGACACAATATGTGTAACCTCTGCTCAGGTGGTTCAGGAAACAAACAGCGGCATATGCGTGTGGTGGCAAGATGGTGACATTTGGTGACTCTGGGTAAAGGACACATGGCAGTTCTCTCTGCTGCTCTTACAGCTTTGCTGTAGGTCTGAAATTATTTCAAGAGGAAAAGCTCCATAGAGGGTACTGTTTAGTTTTGGTTGTTACCGAGCATTATAAAAGTGGTGTCACATTAAATCCATCACATGATCAGATGTCACCAGGAGCACGTATCGGGTGTGAAGTCACAGCTCCTCGCACCATAAGTAACGCATGTGTCCTTCCTCATGCTTGAGGAAAGGACCCAGCCGGAAAACTGGCTTCTCAGCAACAGATTCAGAAATTACTGGGATTAGGTTCGTCCATCTGAGCGACGCTACAAATAAAGTCCCAAACCCCTTTCGACCAGAAGAAACCTGGGAGCTCAAAAGAAAGGTCCAACCAAGACCTTCGTGGGGCTGCTGTGTTTTCCCCGTGGCCGCCCGTGGCCGCCTGAGGAAATGAGATACTTACTTCCAACACCCCTCACAGCCCCCGGGTTCTGAGAAGACAGCCATGTCCTGCACCCCAAGGCAAGGCGGCTCCTGCCTTTTTTCTGAATTTACAGGGAAGGCAACTGTGACAGTCGGGTCTGTGCCTCTCAGCAGCCCGTGGAGAGATCCCGGGGGCCGAAACCCGAGAGGAGGGGCTGCTCGCCCTGCGTCAGCCCATCGGTCATCACAAAACCGCCCTGGTTCATTTCTTCTTCTCGTAAATAATGATGTGACGAGTTGGGAACACAGAGAGGGGAGACTAGAAAGCCGGGTTCGGGGCTCGGAAGCCTGGTGTTGAGTCGTGACGGTTCCAGTGCTGGACGTGTCTAACTCTCTCCCTGAGTCACAGCCCAACGAGTCTTTAGGAATGTCAGTCACGGATGACAGGACTCAGGTGTGTCCCGTCTCTGGGCTCTAAACTCCTCCCACTGGAAAAATGACTTAAGTCCCATTACGAATTGCATAAGCAGCCGAGACAGGGCTGGCGAGCACACCCTGCCACCCGTGTCAGCACGGCACTGGGCACCGCGGGAGGACGGGAAGCGACGGGCCACACTGAATCCCCTGCCCTCGGTGGCTCCCACATGAACGGCGTCTCTGTGGGAAGACCGAGACACACACCTCAAGGTTTTTAGCAAGTCTGCACAGCGGCTGCAAATTTATCTGATGGAAACTGTGTCCCTACGTACTGGGAGCAAGCAGTGTGACAGGGTGAGATGCCACGACAGAGGGACTCAGGGGTGACAGGGACCGGATGGGAAGCAGCAGCCCACAGCAGGAGAGGGCACGGCCCACCCCGGCCAGAGGCCATCCCTTCTGATGCTCTGGCTCGTCTCTCTCACCCGACTTCGATGCCCACCTGTGCAGGCGGGGCTGGGCGGGACCATCGTGGGCATGTTCTAACCGCTACGGCAGTTAGTCCAACGTCACTGCTGACGACAAACCCACCTGGGAATAGTAGGAAGTCCAGGCTCCAGTGAAATGACCAGGGCACTAAAGGTCCCTGCTTTTAGCAGTTCTCAAAGTGTGGTTCCTGGACGGGCAGCACCAACATCCCCTAGAAAGCTTGTTCTAAATGCAAATTCTTGGGCCCCGCCTCAGATGACTGAATGAAACTCTCTGAAGGTGAGGCCAGAAATCTGTTTTAACAAGCCTTCCGGGCGATTCCTGCATGTGCACGCGTGTGTACGTGCACACACACGCACCACAGCACTGAAGTCTGAGAAGCACTGGTTCTGACGTACTTATCTTCCTCCCTGACGTGAGGGGTCAGGCAGAAGGCACAAGCGTCCACACCTGCACGGCCACAGGGCACTCTGTGACCAGGCCCGGCCTGGAGCCGCTGCTTCCACGGGCATCACGACCTCAGGCTGTGTCCCCTCTACCTCCTAAAGTGGACAGGGCCTTGGGCAGCGTGGGGCCTCGGATGGTCTCTCGGGAGCTCACCTTTCCTCCATCATCCCTTAAGTCTGGTTGCCTTAGGCCTCACCCCCTGCCTCTCCCCGCCCTGGGCCGTGCCTCCTTCCCTGTCCTGCTCTGACACGGACCTGCATCTCTCCTCTCGGCTGTCACCTAGTCCCGAGGCCACCACGGGTCAGAACCCTCGAGGAGGAGCCACTGCTGCTTTAGCTCCGCTCCTTCACCCAGCCCCTCCCCCTGGCTGGGTGGACACTTGGACAATCACTCTCGTCTGGTCCCTGAAGTCATCAATTCAATCTTACAGAGCAGCGGTCCCCAACCTTTGTGGCATCAGGGACCAGTGCTCCTATGAGAATCTGATGCCTGAGGATCTGAGGCGGAGCTGAGGCAGTGATGCTGGCGTTGGGGAGCGGCTGTGAATACAGATGACGCTTTGCTTGCCTGCTGCTCACTTCCTGCTGTGCAGCCCGGTTCCTAACAGTACATGGACCAGCACTGGTATGTGGCCCAGGGATTGGGGACCCCTGCTATAAACCACAGACCTCGGGGAGTTAGTTGGCCACGAGAATAACCAAAGTCTCCGGAACGTGTGGCTGTGCTAGTGAAGCACAGTCTGCACCAGCACTTGAGAGTCCTATGACCATGTCACAAAGGGCACCCACTGCCCTCCCCAAGTCCAGGCTGCCGACAGCTCTCACCTGGATCGCCACAACCGTCCCACCTGCTGCCTTTACTTTCAGTCTCCTCCCTCCAAACTCAAACCTATCACGCTTATGTCTAATCACGTCGCCCATCCCTGGAGGCCGTTCAGTGCAGGGGTCTGGTGGTAGCCAGTTCCCACCAGCTCACGAGCCCGTTGCCTGAGCATCTCTTCTCAGCTCCAAGGTCAGGGGTGTCAAGCTGGTAGCTTGAAATTATCTGTGATGGGAGTATTTACACCACAGTAATGGGCAAATGCTACCTATCAGAACTTCTCCCTCCTGACTCTCAGAAAACTAGTTTATCAGCATCCCTCCGAGTGGTTCCCAAACCTTCCTGAATATTGGGGTCTTCAGAATGTACTAATGCCTGGCTCTCATCCTCCAAATTGTGATTTAATTGGGATGGTATGCAACCAGGAGTTTTAAAGCTGCCCAGGTGATTCTAATGTACAGCGAAGTCTGGGCACCACTCCTTCAGTGGCTCCCGGGAGAAAATGCAACCTCTTGAGCAGAATGTACAAGGCCTGACTCTTCAGTCTTACCCACCGCCATGCCCCACCTAGGACTGCAGGCGGCCAGGCCATGGCCTGCTCTGCATACACTGGGACCTCAGGGGTGGCAACGTCTGCATCTCTGCTTCCCTCTGCAAGGCCCACCCTCTGTGTCTGGAAATCACACCCTATCCCTCCCAAGTCGGCTCAGATCCCCACCCCTCAGCCCGGGCGACCAGCCCTCCCCAGAGCTGTCCATCTCACAGGCTCTGGTCACACAACATTGTAATGTCCTGCCCCCTCCTCCCCAAAGGCTGTATTTGACATCAGGGGCTCTAACTCATGTCCCCACAGATGCTCAGTGAGTGTTTGCAGGATGAATAAAGGGCTTACTCTGGGGTGTCTATGAGGACTGGGACATGCAGCAGCCTGGGAGACTGACTGGTCCTTGTGCTGTGTGCTGACAGAGATGTGAGGACACTGTCACTACACCTCACAGTGTCCCCATGGAGACTTAGGGGGAGTTCTTACCCCACTCTCCGGCTCCTCCTAACGCAACTTATACTTTTATCTCCTAGACGCTGTAATTGTTATTGACCATATTGACAGCTACCACGTGCTTTCTAAGTTCTAGGTGCTGTGCTAAATTCTGATCTACATCATGGCATTTAATCCTCTCCATAACCCTGTGAGGTTGGTATGATGGGCCTCGTGTTACAGACGAGTAAACCAAGCTTAGCGAGGATAAGAACTTCTGGGCTTTTTTTTTTTTTTTTTAGATAAGAACTTCGTTTTTGAAATAACTTTTGTTGAGATACCCTTTAGAGATAACATTTTTCTGAGATAAGAACCTTTTTTTTTTTTTTTGAGGTAAGAACTTTTCAACAGCACGTGGTTCCTAAGTGGGAACCAGGACCGGGAGCCCAGGTCCGCCTCACTTCAAAGCTTATGCTGCGAGCACATGACAAGCGATCCTGTTTCTGTGACGGCTGCAGTGAGCTCAGGAGCTCTGCACAAGCACGCAAGGCCCGTGGCCCCAAACGGGTACCGGGAGTTTTAAAGCTGCCCAGGTGCAACCTTGTCTTGGCCTCAGGTCACTTTCATGATAGATATTTTTTCCCCTCACCCCAATCTCTCATGTTTGAAACCGTTGTTCTAGAAGCCGTCTCACACTCTGGAATGAAGAACAATACAACCACAGCAATGAGCGCACAGAGCACCATGCATCCGAGAGCTCAGAAAACGGTCTCTGACAGGGAGGAGGCGACTGCGGGCAAGGTGGGAGGAGCAGGGGGACCCACCTGCTCTGCCTCCTCCTCCAGCTGGCTTCGTCAGACAGCGCTGCTCAGCTCAGAGCTCGCTCACCTTGCACGTGTCTGTGTCTGCCTGTCACCAGGGAGGAATATTCCTAAGTGATGAGGGGGCCAAATCTTCAACAGACCACCAGTATGTGGCAAATACGCTCTATAACTAACTCCACCAGGACAGCGCTTGGCTTTAAGGGTGAAATTTCAACTGTACAACCTATTTACTAGGTAAAGATGAAGGTGATAAAGGCTCACTGCTGTTAGAAATGGCCTCCAGATCTAGGAGTTTCTAATGAAGGTAGCTATCCTGTGAACACTCACAGACAGTTCATCATCCCACAGTCCTCTGTGCCCACCCCTGACCCCTATGCCCAGGCCCCAGGCCCCTGTCCTCCATCCCCCATCCCCTGTCACTGGCAGGGCTCACTGGTTCCCTGGGACAGTTCACAAGAGAGCGACGTTGCAACTTAAAACACAAGCTATTCGCCCCCAAACATCTGTACTTTTCGTCTAAGTAAAAAGGAAGGGGGAAAGTTCAAAATGGGGACAAACAACTAGAATTAATCCTCAGGCTTGCGATTTATATAGTTCAGGGAGGGAGACCATGGACCATGAAAGCTGCCCCCCTGGTCCCCTATGAAGATGACCTAATCTTTCTTTGATGGTGGCTGGACTGAGAGGGTGCACACGGGTACTAGACCCAGGGTTGGCAAACCTTACCAAGATTAATGAGCACAAAGCCTCCGGAAGCTTATTTTGAAGGAACCACGAGGCTCTGGAGAAGCACAAGAGTTATGATTTAAAAGATGGTCAAGCTGCCGAAAAGCGAGCCACCCAGGGTTCCACAGGTCCTGTCCTTTCAGACCGAGGGACGGCTGTTCCATGCGGGGTTGGGCAGCATCAAGGGAGGGTCAAATCGGAGATCAGGGTTAAAAAGGGGATGACCAACGAGTTTTGTTTTGTTTTGTTTTCAGAAGAGGGAGACCAGACCGTGAAGGGTCCCAGAAGTGTGACTGAGGATGACCGAGGTAGCTGGGACGTCCTGGAGAAGGGACCACGAGGCTGCTCCGTGAAGGCCTGAGGAAGCAGACCTACTCGGGGCCGCATGACCTGGACAGAGCGCACTGCAAGGGGGGACTCGCCAATCACCGCGCACACCCCAAAGCACGTCCCCGGTCCTGGCCTCGAGCTCAGCGTCTAGAGGCCAGCCTTTCAGGGTTCTGGGAAGAGGGACCCCTGAACGGGGTGAGGGGGTGACATGGATGAATTTCAGAGCGCCCTTCCCAAATTCTAAGACTCTATCACGAGCATCCTCCCAATTTGTGGGCTTCTTACAGTTTTTTACGTGAAGCATAACGTGGTCTCCCTCTTTTCCTTTTGGTAATCTACTCGTTTGATTTTTTTTTTTTTTTTTTTTTAAGTACAGAGTTCCCCACGTTTCAGAAGGAAACTTTCAAATCTAAAAGAAATCAAGTTTCAAAAAACCCTTCTGGACTGTCCAGAACAGGCCAGTCTGTAGGGATGACACGGAAGAGCTGGCAGGGAATGGGGGTGACCGCTAACTGGACAGGATTATCTTGCCCCGATAAACGTGTTCTAAAATTAAATCATGGTGATGGTCACACAAACTCTGTAAATGCGCTAAAAACCATTGAACTGTGCGCTTGACGTGGGTGAAGTTTATGGAATGTAAATTATATCTCAGCAAACACACATACTCTTTTGGGACACACTCCAGGGGAATTTTCCACGTTATAATCATCCTCAGGAGTGGTTCGCCTGCCGCCACTTAATGCCACCAGCTGCCCTCATGCATCTGAGTCGTTCCCTTCTCATGGAAAGACTGAGTGTTAATAAACCCTCCCTCACCCAACAACTCGGAGCAAACGAGAGCCTCATGCCCCCACCTCTAAGGGCTGACATGGTACCGCACCACGGCCGTCAACTGCAGCATGATGACAGCCATGAGGACCAGGCGCCTACAGCTGACACTGGGTCAAGTCAAGGGCCACGTAAGACCCAGTATGTCAAACATCCCCAAGAGCCTCTGCAGTCACTAGCTGACGACCCAACTGCTGTCACTCTGAGCCCTCAGTAAGAAGAGAAGTGACAGAGGCCCAGGCAGGCCCAGTGCACCAGCGTCGTCCCCTTGGGCCAGGGAGGGTGATCTGGCACTGCCGCTGGGCATCTCAAGTGCAGTGACCCTGCTGGGAAGAAACTCACTGAATGAGACAGCGCCGATCCACTGACGACAGACGTGTTCCTGGAACACGGCGCCACAGCCCGAATTCCTCCCAGGAGACAGAACGCCAAATACCTCTGCTCTGACCAGAGCCCAGTTTTGGACGGCAAGCTGTATTTTTAGAAATCATAGGAAAGCTCTGTGCAAGTCTCACGTGGCCTCACAACAGGCGCCTGCAAACGCCAGACCTGCCGCACGGCCCTCAGGGCCGTTCTCCGCCTCTGGGACGGTCACTGCTCTCACAGAGCGTCTTTAAGCACATTGTCAATGCCGTGAACTTGGGGTCTAACTTAAGGGAATTCCACTCGGCCATACTGTGTGGTTTACTCATCAGCAAACACCTTCCCGCTTCACTTGCACCAACAGTGAGCTCACAGTCAGAAAATGACACAGTGTCTATGTTTCTCTGTGCAAACACCACACACACGGGCACATGCCCACACACACTCACGTGCACACTTGGACAGCTCAGTTCAATCCAGCTGGGCCGAGGAGAAAGACCGGAAACTGTGCCATGAAAGACATGGTTGAAAGCAACAAACCACAGTTGTTTGACGAGAAGGCAGACAATAACATACGTGGACGTACTTTGTCTATCACCCACCTGAAGCCCTGGCTGCTCCCAAAACAGCGGGACCGAGCCTCTGATCTGGACAAAAGACGACACGCCATCATCCATGTAAATCGTCTGCAGCACAAGGAAACATAAAGAGAAAGTCTTCTTCAGTGAAACCGAATGTCCTGGGCCGGTAACGGGATCCGGCCGCCTGAGACCCGACACCGGAACGAAGGGCACGGGGCGGACTTCAGGCCCTGGGCTGCCCTCCCCCAGGCCGCCTGGCGCGCTCGCGGCATGCTGGCTGCTGATCGGCCTCCGCGGAGTCTGGAGCAGGCCGGGGCCACCCAGGGTCTGCGGCAGCTGGCAGGGAGCTCGCACAGCTCCATGGAGCTCCTGAAAAGCCACCACCCCGTTTCAGGAAGAGAAGCAAATGTGCTCCAGGATTTAACTAAGACCGTCCTTGGAGCCCTCTATTTTTACCTGGTAGCTAGCTAAGTAGCAGAGAGCGAGTGGAAAAGGGCTGACTGAATGAAATGAACAGGCTGTAGCCAAAGGCACAGAGGACCGCACGAATCAGTCCCGCACTTGAGAGTGCAAGTCAAGACTCCACTTGAACCTGTGGTCGGTCCCGGTCCTATGCCACTATGTTCTTAAACGTGCCACTAAGTCAACACATGCAGCACAGCGCCCACCAACTTCCAGCGTGGTAGCACCCGCACAGAAACAGATGATACTTACACACTGAAGACCATTGTCCGCCCCGCACCCCCACGCACAGTTATTCCAGGTATCAGCTCCTCCTCTGCCTGCAGGCCCCCACTGACATTGTCCTGCAAGGGAGCTCTAAAAGGACAAAAAGCACGGTCCGGAGCATCACGAGGGAGAGGCTGTGGCAGTTCTCGGATGCACTGCCCTTTATCTGCGTAACCCTACCCTGGCCTGGCAGGGCCGGCCGGGGCGATGCTGCTCCTTTCCAGTCCTCACCAGCCTGCTCCCTTACAGGGCAGCTTTCCGCGAGGCTAGATCACGCTCAGATCACACATGCATTAGTAATTCTGCAGAGGAGGACCTGAACATTAGACCCGCAGGCTCCCTGGACTACAGGAATTACACAAGCCTGGCAGCTGTATTGTTGAGCTGACATTCTATCCCTTAATCTCCAGAGGGAAAAGGCACTGGGTTAAGAATCTGCGGTCTGTTTCCAGACATCGACTCTCAGCAAGCTGGTCACCCTCCATTGTTCTACTGCCATAATCGGGAGAAAGTCGTAGGTTGTTTACACCACTGCAGGCAGAGCTGGCTCCGTGAGGGCGTGAGCAAACGACCGAGCCACATGTGTGGGTGCACAGTCCGGACTGCCCAGGAAGAAACCAAGCCAGCCAGCCTTCCCCTACGAAGACCGCACTTGACAGCGCCTAGGGCCCGATTTAGGCTGTGGATCGTTACCCGTCACCTTAAGGAGCACATGCTAACAGTGCCACTTCTGGCCTCAGACCTTGCTGCTCTTCAGTGGGAACTTGGGTGGAACCAGTTTCAGAAAACACCTACAGCTGTCTCAGCGCCCCGCAAACCCCCACTTCCGGCAAGAAGAAAAGGCGCCTCCAAATTTCTCCTTTCCTCCCTCCCACTCAAACAGCTTCTGGTTCTGTGTCTCGTCCTCTCATCAGGACTGACTTTGTTTCCAAGGTGATAGCTGATCATCAAACGCGAGTGACGGAAATATTGTACTTTCTGGATGAGAGAGCACGGGTTTTAAACGAGTGGGAGATTCGACATCTCACCTCGCAGCTGTGATTTTAACACGGGGCATTTGGGGTCCTTGTGGGAGGAGACGCAGGACGGAGTGTGAAAGCAGGTTGGCACGTGGGCTTCGGGACAAGACCAGCCCGGGTCCCACCGCTGTTTGCATAGCGGGATGACCCTGGGGACGTTCCTGAACCACTTCTGGCCTGTTTCCCTCTCTCTCGGTGGCATTACTGTCACCTGGTCACAGGGGGAGGGGTAAATGAGGGAGTGTGGTCTCCTCAGGCCAGGAAAGTGCTGCCCCGTGAGTGTGGGTGAGGCTCTGCGGACAGAGAGAGGCTGGCTGGGATCAGAGCACGGGGGAGCCAGGGTTGAGGCTGGGGAAAGAGGGACCCCAGGACAGGACAGAGAAGACGTTGGAGGGTGACACAGAGCAGCAGAGTGTTCCAGGAAGGAGGGCGTCCACTGTGACAGTGTGGTGGCCAGGCCAGACCAACCTGGGACCCCTCCTGGACTTGGCAACTCTGAGCAGCCCCTTTCACAGAGCACTGGGAGCAGAAACCCAACCACCACGAAGAGAAAGGGACAGAGGAAGACTCACGGCAGGGTGGACGCGCTCTCATCCGAGAGCCTTTTTGCTGAACTTCTATTTCCGGATGAGGTGTTTACAAACCAGCCCTTTCGAGTCTGGTTCCTGGGAGGATGGGCAGAGTCGCACTGACCTCCCTGGGCACATCGGGGGCTTCCCTTCAGCAGTCAGCGCTGTATCTGCTTTTCCTTTTGCTGGTAGACTGAGGGGACTTTATAGGTTTTGCTTTTCTGCATAGTGAGTCGTGGCCACAGAGCAAGCCCCGCAGGTGTGACTCAAGGCTTCCTCCCAGGGAAACTAAGATGCTGGGTCTACCTGCACACACAACACACATGTACACACATATGCACAACACACATGCGCACGTCACACACACACACACATACACATACACACACACAATGCACAAACACACTGTGCATGCACATACACAATCCTCCCACAAACAGCCTGCCTTGGAGGAGAAAGACTGCTCGCTCCCCTCAGGAAAATGTTAAAATAAGGCAGAAGCGCACAGTGCCAACAGCACCTCCTTTGCTGGCTCCGAGCACGGAGAGCACCAGGAGAAGCCGGCTGCCTGCCGAGAGCCCCCGGCAGGAAACCAGGCTGCTCTTTGTCTAGTCCCGTCGTCGTCTGCTTGAGAATGATGACACACGGCAGTCACTCAGCTGCCTTTCTGCATGAACCTCAGGACTTCCACTCCCACATGGCTCAGGGCTGGGGTCTGAGGAGTCTCAGTTCTGCAGCAGGGGACCCCGGCCAGAGGTGACCTACAACCACCAAGGCAGCTGAGCCGCCCCAGCCGAGCCTCCTTCCTGCTGTGGGCTCAGCACCAAGTTCCCCACATAGCCTGCCCACGACACCGTCCCGGCCCCGAACTCACAATCACGCCTCCCACAAACTCGAGGGAGCGGGATAAGCCATCAGATCACTGCGGCCCACACGGGCCGCACCTGACAGGGTCGCAGGCCGGTTCCCCTTGCGCTCACTGCGCGTCCACGCTTCCCGGAGCTCAGCCGACGCCCGCAGGCTGAGCATCCTCCCCGCGCGCGAACCCCCGACTTAACCCGGTGATCTCACTTAGATGCGGAATCTAATAAAATAAACGAACAAAACAGAACCGGACTCACAGGTACAGAGAACAAACTGACGGGTGCCAGATGGGAGGCGGGTTGGGGGGCTGGGTGGAAAAAAGGGGATGAAGACGTACAAATGACAGCTATGAAACAGTCGGGGGACGTGAAGTCCCTGTGCTCTACTTCGCGTCCCCGTGACTGCTTTATACCGTCAGCAAAGCTGCAATAACTGCGCGTGGTGTCGAGTGGGTACGAGATTTATTGAGGTGATCACTCTGTAAGGTATGTAAATGTCTAACTGCTATGCTGTACACCTGAAACTAGTATAATATTGAATGTCGACTATAAGTGAAAAAACTTAAATGAAAAAAAAACTGCTCTACTTCGCGTCCCCGTGACTGCTTTATACCGTCAGCAAAGCTGCAATAACTGCGCGTGGTGTCGAGTGGGTACGAGATTTATTGAGGTGATCACTCTGTAAGGTATGTAAATGTCTAACTGCTATGCTGTACACCTGAAACTAGTATAATATTGAATGTCAACTATAAGTGAAAAAACTAAAATGAAAAAAAAAAAAACACACCTTCCTTGGCAAGTGGTGGGGCGGGGGGCGAGGCACAGCTGCCACACGCCGGGAACGATGGTAAGTACGTATTCCACTTAAACACTTTCTTGTTAAAAAAACAGCTTAGATCAACCCAAGCGGCTCTGTTGCTCCAAAGTGCGTGACAAACCGTCCCGTTTCCGACAGAGCCGGTGGCACTCCTGTACGAGTGGGTGACACGGAGTCCCTGCACCTCTGGGAGCAGCTGCTCCGTCAGCCACCATTGCTCATCCCGGCTCGGGAGACATTTCAGAGAAGGAGATGGTGCCCCTGCGGTGCACACGGCCGGGTGGGCTGCGGGGAGGGGCTGATCCCCCCACCGGGCCACGCTGGGTCCCATGGGTGTCACCGGGCGTCCCTCAGCAGGACGCTTTCCCAGGGAAGCACACGCCTGCATGCTCTCTTGGATGCTAGCTGCGCTTCCTGTCCCTCTATGCGTCCCCGCCTGGCACACAGGCCCCTCTGTGCCCTCCCGTGCCCTGCTGTCTTCCCCGTGCAGCTGGGCACTGACTGTGGGGAGGCATCCCCCGAGGGCACAGTGCCTGCCTGCCAGGCCAGCTCGTCCGTCTTGTTCCTGCTGCATCCCCACTGGGCCGGCTCACAAGTAAACTCGGCTTACGGACCCCGCGTTTGCTCCCGTGTTGCCGATAAGGACACCCTGTTATTGGCTCTGGGAACTGACTCCTCCCCTCCCCTGAGAGTCACCTTCTCTCCCACATACCCTGGTGGGCATGCTGTTTGGGGGAGCTCTCTGCTGGCGTCAATCAGCCTGGACTCCTATTTCCCACAGCAAAGAGCATGTGGCCCATCGGCAGTAGCCTGAAATGTACGTGCCCCACAAAGAACTGCTCTGGGTGTGAGGCCATGACCCTCCGTCCCTGTTATGTGTCTGGTAGGAAGGAAATCACTGTGGGGTCACGTTGCTACCTCTTGGTCTCAGGCAGGGGCCATGCTTGCAGCTGCATGCTGTCTCTGGGGGCTAGCACATTTGGAGCGGATGGGGGCGGGGTTCTGGCTGCCTGTCAACTCGTCTGCTGCTCCTAAGATCCAGGTAAGGGTGAGGGCTTCATAGAGGAAGCAGCACCATCTGACCCGGAGCCCAGAGGAGGAAAAGGGAGGGAAAACAGGGAGGAGGACGGCCACAAAGGCTGCAGGAGCCAAGAAATACCTCCCCATTTCCGGTAAGGGAGGCAAGTGGAGGCCATTTAAACAGCATCAGGGTGTGGGCCCCAGGAACCAGAGGGACAGGCCATTTATATTTGTAAGGCCTTGCTGGGCTGCCTACAGGGTGTAAAAGGGGACAAGGACCCTATCTCCAAGCCCGAGTAAACTGGGCACACAGGAGTCAAGGGCAAGTCACCAGGCCTATGTCAGTGAAGTACCCAGAACAAAGACCTCACCCCTGGTCTGTAGGAAAACGAGAAAAGCAAAGACAATAGAGAGATTTTCATAAAGCTTCATGCGCTGCATTTGAACACAGGATTATGTCCTCGTTATGGATTGACTTGTGTCCCCCAAAAAGACGTGTTGAAGCCCTAACCCCCGGCCCTTTGGAATGCAGCCTTATTTGGGAACAGTCCGTGTAGATGTAATTAGTTAAGACGGGGTCACGCTGGAGTCGGGTGGGCCCTTAATCCAACATGACTGATGCACTTGTAAAAAGGGGACTCACATGGAGGAGGCGGCAGAAACCGGAGTGATGTTGCCACCACCTGGGCCACCGGGAGCTGGAAGGGGCAGGGAAGGGTCCTCCCCAGAGCCTTCAGAGGAAGCCTGGCCCTGCCATGCCTGGATTTTGGATTTCTGGCGTCCGGAACTAAGAGATTATAAACTTCGGTTTATAATCTGCTACAGCCACCCGAGGAAACTCCTCCCGCCCTCTTACGTTTTCCGAGCAAACGCCTGTCTTCCAATAGAGGACAGTAATGTGCAGTTGATTTTCCAACGACGTGCTTGATAAGATACAATAGATGAGACCTCAATTAAAAAAAAACAAAAAACGGGTTGAAATCCAAAAATCCAGGGAGCACCAAAGAGGGACCGTCGGCCTGAGCGCTGGACGGACAGCCAGGCGGAGGCGAAGCGGGCCTTGCTCCAGGGCCGCCCGGGGAAGCCCCTGGAATCGGGCTCAGTTACCAGGTCCCTGGCCTCTGGGAACTGGATTTGTACAAACAGGCTCTGTACCTTTGGCCCCTAGTTCCTGGCACAGCACCCGGCCCACATAATAAAGATTGGTTGAATTAACGAGGTGATTCAAAGGCTAACGACACGTGGATAAACTGGCATGGAAAGAGGTAATGAAGGTGGCGCATGAGAACAAAAGACAGTAATTTTCGATGTGCGGAGAAGAGCGAGAGAAACGCAAGCAGCCTCCGTCTGGGGGCCGCATTCTGTCATCTTTAACCAGATCTTTATTTACCTGCCTCGTCTGTACCCAGGAGAGCAGACAGCGTGAGAAGTCACAGGCAAGAAGCTGGCTTTGCTGCTCATCTTCAGGTCCCTGTTCCAACATCCTCCCACTCAGCGTCTGACCCAAGACGACCCGCCTGACCTTTGGGCATCTGAAAGCGGGTGGCGGCTCACACAGAGGAGGAGGCTCCCATCTGTGCTGAATTAAACTGGCTACAGTCCTTGTAGGAAACCCCTCTCGCAGCTGCAGCAAGGAGGGAATGCAAAGCCACATTGCCGCTAAACACACACAGGTGTTTGCAGCTCGATACCCACGGCCATACCGCACCTGTGCCTTTCACGGGGCTTTCCCTTCTTATAATTTATCCCACCTGTTAGTCTACACGGTGGCACTATCCACCAGATTGCAAGTTAGACAGAAGAAAGAAAAACAGTTGTAAGACAGCATCTCTGGGAATGAGAACAGAATTTAGAAAACAAATCAATGAGAGATTAAGCAGATGGTTATAGTCTGCAGCAGCTGAAAGCTGCTTAACACGCAGATTTCACGCCCAGGTGCTGAGATTTGCTTCTAGGATGAAGCCCTAGTTGCTTGAGAATGAAAAAGAACTGCTTCTTCTCTCTTCTTCCCATTACCCATCTACTTACTTTTGTCTTAAAAAGATTTTCAAACCCTATTGGTTCATCCCTCCTCAGATGCTCTCTGCATAACCGCCACCTTTCACGATCATGGCAAAAAGTCCTGCTTCTTTTGAGCTGCAAATACCTCAGGTAAGCAATATTTTTCCAGCATGATTAGTGAATCAAAAACGATCCACGCTCAAACCAGAGGCCACATTTGCAGGCAGAGCCGCGGTGACCAGTTCTGTTCTCCAGTTGGAGTAAGGAGCCATGCTCATCACAATGGCCTCGAATACCCCCAAAGAGAAACGCGTCTGCATGGCTGCATCCCCTCTGAACCACCGCGGGCCAGGCCTGCCTGGGCACTGACCTGCTCCGTCTCCACGAAGTTGGACACGTGGCCATCGTCGTTCACGCCGCGGGTGTGGAAGCGCGCGCCCGCGCGTGCGCAGCTGATGCGGGAGATGAGGCAGACCTTGGCCTGCTTGTGCGAGGCGTACACGGTGCGGATGGCCACCACCCCGCAGATGACCTTCAGCAGCCAGTCACAGCAGCTCACCTGGTGCTGCCTCAGGGGCACGTGCAACAGCTGGTTCCTGCAAAACAGAGCGCCACAGCGACTCAGGTCACCTCACACCCTCCGGGAAACTGCGCCCAAAGCAAGCAGCGAGGAAGCACCTGTGCGGGTAGCAGCCCGCTTAATAGGAGGCGCATGCGCACGGCGCCCACTGGGGACACGCAGGACGGGACACTCACGGGCTTCTGAGAGACCTCAAGCAAGGCCACCGAGACGCGCGCAGCAGCAAAGGGAAAGGAGACCTTTCCCAAAGCTACCCCCGTGTCAGTACCATTGCAGGCAAGCAAAGCGTGGGCTGTGAGCCCATCACGAGCCCATCACGAGCCTTCCCGGCAATTTCAGAGGAGCCCCACTTTAGATGCCCGCCTGGCCTCTACATTCGAAAATCAGAAACCCCATCAGTAAAATAATTAGCCATGTTTTGTAATTAAATAATAATAAAAATGATCATATTAAATACAGGCATGCTTAAATTATATAAATAGCCCATGAGATAAATTACAAAGCAATCCCAAATAAATAAGAAGAGAGGATGAGATAAAAATAAGACTTAAGGAAAGTGCCAGTACTTCCATACCTGGCGGATTGTTCTGGGCCTCTGGAGACCCCCGGTGACCAGCATAATGATGGGGATGAAGGCCAACATTTATCAAGTGCACCCAGCACCATTCTAAGTGCTTCAGGATGGATTAACTCACTTCGTCCTCGGAACGACGTTGTGTGACAGGTATTATCATTCATTCACCCATTGTGCAGATAAAGAAACTGAGGCACAGAGAACTGGACTGCACGCTCACCCTAGACCCGGAGCCTGGAAGTGGCAGCACGGACCTGGGAGCCTGTCTCTTCTCCCAGCCCGGCCGGCCCCGCGCCTCCCCTGGGGAAGACCCTACCTTGGCAGCTGCACCTGCCCGCGGCCCCACCCTCCTCTCATCTCCCACTCACTCAGCCTCTCAACATCCACAGCGGAGCAAGTGGCTACTCTGAGAAGGGAGGGGGCACGTGGACACCTGGACACCGTGGGCTGCTTCCGGCTCCCAGCAGTGCTGTTCTGAGGCCCCTACCTCGTTTCCAGGGAGGTGTAACCCTCAAGAGACTCCTTCCTGTAGAATACTAAGGATATCTAGATCAAATGCCCTAATTGTTTAAAAAAGGCAGCACTGGTCCTGCCCTGGAGCCTTCCTCAAAGATAGGCAGCTCTTAGGCCAGCCTCCTCGACTGTGAGCATGGCCACTTCCGCCTGGGCACTGAGGACCCCCCAGGGAGTGGCCACGTGGGACCTGCTTCTGAGCTCTCAGAGCCACAGCGCTTGTCCACATGAAGAAAGGACGATCATGAAGACTACAAAAACGTTATTTTCCTCTTCGGCATCACTCTTCAAACTTCAGATGATAAACTAGCTTTAGTAACGATTAAATTTGCACATGGCATCAAGGCAAAGACTCCAGACGATTCCAGCCACACAGCTAGGGCCACCACCAGGGGTCAGAAGAAGGCGCCTTTTGCCAAATGGACAACTCTGAATCAACCCTGTTGGCATCACACTTGCCCGACCCTCTGTGGGAGGATCACGCCCTCCGAGGAAGAGACCCAGTTCTAGAAAGGAAAACAGCTTTGAGTTTCCTTGCAGGCCTTGCTTGTACAGGGGAGCAATTATTGGTGGGGTCAGTGACCGGCCCGGAAAAAAATGACTTTACCCCGATGTACACTCTCCCTTATTCACCAGCCACGTTCAGTGGTGACCTCATCTGACACCAGATGTGGGCCTAGATCTAACATGTGGCACCCCCAATGGTGGGTTTAGACAATCAAGCCTGTGACCACTCAGCTGGCCTGACTTGATGTGGCTAGTTCTGTGGGTGCCGCCCTGAGCCCAAACACCACACCCAGCAGGCTGGCATTCTCCAGAGTCACCACCCCCCTCCCAACTCAAGACAGAGTCTGGTGTCCACTTGGGGCCTCCGAGGATCTGAGGCCCTCGCAGCCTCTGCTTGGTGAGTCTCTGCTTGGACTTCCTATTTTCTGTATGTCTCAAATCTCCAGCCACAGAGCTGAGAGGAGGAGGCCTGAGAAGGGCAATTACATAGGTGCTGGGGCACCCAGAGGTCCCAGGCCCCCCCCTCCAGCCCTACAGTGTTTCCAGGGAATGTCACAGCATCTGAATCTGGGACCTCTTGCCTCTGCTTGCCTGACAGTCCGGTTAGAAATGGACACCTAGCCTCAGCACAAAGCGTCCTCAGTCCCTACATTCTGCTGCCTTCAGGGGCACGTACACAGCTGGTCCCTGCAAAGTGGATCTAGGGATTCACAGAAACATGGTCCCCTGGACCTGGGACCCTGAGTAGGGTCCTCGAACCAGCAGCATTGGTATCGCCATCTTCACCTTGCTGGAAATGCCAAATCTTGGGCCCCAGCCCAGACCTGCTGCATCAGACCCGCTGTAACAAGATCAGCAAGAAAGTCACATGCGTTCTAAAGTTTGGGCACATTATTGCCCGAAAAACTGAAACCCAGAGAACCTGAAAGGATCTGGGGGTGGTCGCACTAGGACACACGGAGGGATTGGCGGAGGCCCCTTTCTCCAAGCGGAAGTCAGGCAGTTCCTTGGTGGGGTCCAAAGCACCCAGGAAAAAACATGTATCTGATGATGGGGACTCTGGCTTCCTATTTTTGGGCAAAGGGGGCAGGCACAAAGAAAGGGCATAAATGCACCTCGCCAATCCTGTCTTAGGGCTGGGAAACTGGTAGCCCCAAAGGCCGACACTGGAATTCTGAGAACGTCCGTTACATGAGGTCCACTGGGACAATTTCTGCAGCAGGATTTCATCATTTCTGCTTCTGACTCCCTCCCACACATCTCCTGGGGGGACAGCACCACCGATGACCCAGGCCTGGGCGCTAGTGTATGTTAACCACTGTCCTCCTTTCACAGGACTCGTGAGGGTCCTCACCTCCAGGGCTCGGGAAGGGAAACAGGTAATTTACATATGTATAGAGTCACCCACCTCGCTGTGTCCGTGAAGGAGCACCCACCTGCCCCTACACATACAGAAGCCCGGCCTCCTTTGTCTGGGCTTCAGGACATGTCTTAACATGTTACTGCACATCACCTTGTTAGGATGGGGACATTGCTGGGCTGGTTTGGGATCTGCATCCAGAATGCCTGGGTTCGACATCCCTCCCTTGTGGAAGCCTCAGACTCCTTATCTGTAAAATGGGAATAACAGACCCACCTCATAGAGACCTACAGGGAGGATGAGTTACTACCCGCGGAGAACTTAGAACAGTGCCTGGAACGCGGGTGGTGAGCGTCTGTCCGCCGAGCGCAGGCAGGATTGCTGGGCCGACGGCAGAAGCGCCAGCCCAGGCACACAGCAGCATCTGCTGGATGCGGCTCGCGCATGCTCTTTACCGATGGCCCAGATTTCCTCCCTGAAACCACGTGAGTCCACTTCGAACACTGTCCCTGACCCCAGGGGTGGGGAATGCGGGGTCAGTCTTCCCCTCACCGTGCGGGGAGCGAGCGGGCACAGATCCCAGCTCTCAGAGGTGACCCAGGCCCCTGGGGATGATGCAAAGTGATCAAGGACACAGATGCCAATCGGCACCTGCCTGCCGTGCGACCTGGGGGCAAGGGATATGGGGCCAGGGCCTCACCAAAAGAAGGAGTTCCCCCACTCATAGCTGTCATCGCCCTGCTTCTGCGCCCGGACGGTGAGGTCGAAGCGAGACCCGTCGTTGGGCCACGAGAAGTAGAAGACGCCCGAGTTGAGGACCTTCCTCAGGGCCGCGAGGCGGTCCTCCTCCTTGGCCCCTTCCTGGAGCGGGTAAAAGTCGATGGCGGTGATTTTGTAGATTTCGGCCTCTGGAATTCTGCCCACAGAAGTGCAGCCTGTCACCAAAACCAGGAAGCTCAGGGACGCGCCACCTGGAACGATAATCAGACAGAGGGGCTTAGGATCGCCGTGGGCCACGCACTGCAGGGCAGCTGTGGTCGCGAGGGGCCCAAACAGCCCAGTTTCTGCTGCAGCTGTGTGACTTCCTGTTGGCTCCTGTACCTCCCCTGGCACCTCGCATTCCTAATCTCAGCGTCTCGGGGAGCCGCCCTGCCACCGGAGCCCGCAGCCTAGCGTCCTGGTTCTGAGCTTGGCCCACCGGAGCCCGCAGCCTAGCGTCCTGGTTCTGAGCTTGGCCCAGGAGCAGGAGCGCCACCCGAGAGCTTGTCAGAACTGCGAATTCTCGGCCCAATCGGACCTCTGGGCGAGGGCTGGCCACCCGGGCTTTAACAAGCCGCAGGTGATCCTGCTGCCTGCCAGAGCCAAGTCTGACAGTTGCTGGCCTGGAGTCTCCCCAGCCCCCTACTTCTCCCCATATCTGCCACCCAGAGCCTCTCAGACCCACCCTCCCCAGGAATCCTCAGGCGCCTGGCTCAGGGCCTCCAGACTAAAGACGGTCCTCCAAGCTGTCATGGCTGCCCTCCTAAACCCACCTGACGACAGACCCCGCTCCACTTAAATCCTTCTGTGGCTCCCACTTTCCCTAGGACTGAAATGGAAACTCCTCGCCATGTTCGGACACCCGGGGTCCAGCAGCTCTCCCGGGCTGTGCTCTGCAGCTCCTCAAACGTGTCATATACCCTCACACCCCTGGGCCTTAAGGCATTGCCTCTGCCCGGGGCACCCCCCTACCGTCTGCCCAACAAGGTCTCCCACAAGCCCTCCCTACCCCACTCACCTTCCCCGCCTCCACCCTCTGCAGTGGCCCAGCCCTCCCACATGCTGGTCAGGACCTTCCTGCCTGCCCCCCTTACCAGGAGCACTCCGCCCTTTGGGGTCAGCTCAGCAGCACCTCCTCCAAGGAGCCTTTCCTGCCTTTCGTCCCTTCTCCGTGCCAGCGGCATCCGTTAGCCCTTGTCACAGGCAGAGCTAACACCCCCCTTCCCGACCTGCATCCCCAGAAGACTGGGGGTTCCTTGGGGGCAGTGCTCTGTTTCAATGTTATGCCCCAGCACTGCACATGGCAAGAGTTTGAGGAATTCTTCCTAAACAAGCCCACGGGAGAGCAGCTCAAGCCTCCTGCCCCCGTGAAAGGCTCCAAAGCACCGCTGGCTCTGTGCCCGGAGGAGACGCCCCTTCCGGGGACTCCATCCATGGCCGCTCTCTCTTCTGCATCCCTGGCCTCCCGCAAAGCCCCTGGCTCGCAAAGGTGCCGCGTCAGCAAGGCGCACGGCAGTGCTCTGCTCTGGGGACGGTGGGGACGGCACCCCTCTTCCTCTGCTTCAGGAGACGGCCCAAGACTGACTGGGCTTTAGGGGCGGGTGTGGTTCTGGTCCACATGCCACTCCTTTCCAATAGTCCCCCAAAGACCCACTCCAGACGGTCAGTGGTCAGTACCTGCTGCAATGCAGTCTACACTCCTGTATCTCTCGACGCTCGGATAAAAGACCCCTAAAAAGGCCGAGTCCAGCAGTACCACCCACTCCGGGCGACTCCCCCTCACACCAAACAGGAAGGAGAATGGTGCGTGGGGCCAGGTAATGCCTGGTTTTTATGAAAGATCCCTTCATTCAACAAGTAAGTCAGCACGCATACCACGCCTGCTGGGTGGAGGGAGAGGGGAATGTCCAGTCCCCTCACTGGCTCATACCCCACCTCTGCCGTCAGATTACCAAGGAATCGTTTTAAAACCACTTAAGAACGAGGCCGTAGATGGTGACAGGTGTCAGGGGCTGAGTTTCTTAAGTGGGACAGCTGTCATTTCCGGAAGACAGATGGGGTTCATGTGGGGTTGAGGTCCTCATATTAGAGCCTCACAAATGCCACAGCCTGTGCCCGGACATCAGACGGGCTCGGCGTGGGGAGAAGCAGACTCCAGGTCAGACCCCTTGGAGCTCAGCCGTGAGCCCCAGATAAGACTCTGTGGGGAGCGGGTTCAAGGAGAGGCATGGAAAATTTTACTTCCCTCTCCCCATCGGAGACGTGAAGCTGATTCCTAGCACCACTTCCTCACAGCTCTGCGTGGGGGGACCACATCCCTGGCAAGAGTCCCAGGTTGCTGTGAAGGCAGCAGGCACTTCCTGTGCAGGGCGGGCCGGTGGGGGGCGGGGGGAGGCTGGGGATGGGCGTGCTGCAAGCAGGTGTGAAAAGGCTCTTAAAATAAACGAGAACAAATGGACGGCCGCCGCCACGGAGAATTCGGCCTCCTGAGTCTTGGGACAAGGGGCTTAGGAGGAGTGCGAGCGAATGAGTCACTGTGTCGGCCGCAGAACCTGGTGCTTTAATGACAGCTGATTCTCAGGGTGGAGCTTGCCCTGTGCCAGGCACCAGTCCACAAACTTCCTCCCGGCGACCCCTCGGGGGAGGTGCCATTTTTGCCATATTTTATCAAAAAGGAGACAGGGGCACAGAGAGGTTAAGTAGCCTGCTGGAGGTGACACGGGGGTACAGGGGCTGGGACTCGGAGCCTGGGCAGGTGGTCACACCAGGGCAGGTTCCAGGCCCGGCGCCCTTAACTAGACCCTTGCAGAAGGATCGCCATTTCACACATGAGGGACCGTCTGCCAGGGAAGCTGACTCGCCTGCCCAAGCCCACGGCTTGTCCGCACGGGACCCAAGACACCAGCATGGGTGCCACCTAGGCCCGGGCTCCGTCTAGCCCTCGGGTCTTCAATCGCTTCAGCTTGTGGTCTCTCTAAGAGCTTGGCTGATCAAGGGACCTCTTGCTCGTTTTTAAATCGACACCAAATGTTTTCATCATTAGTTTAAACGGCTGTAATATATTTCCCAGCATATGCTCAATATTGACATGTAAAAATAAAACTGTCGTAGGCCTCTTTACCAGCCTCTGATGGAATCCAGACCGTGACGCGATACTCATCACCATCTATTATTTAAAGGGACATGCAAACAAGTTCTTCTTCAACACATGGGATTTTCACTCTTACTCCATTACACTTTCTCCCCAGAATCTCATCCCGACATAACACTTCGTGCTCCCATGTCCTGTGCTGATCACCCTGGCCGTATTGTGCAGCCGTTTGATCCTCAAGGCCAAAGAGTTCACGAAGAGCTTGTTCTGGTTTGATTTTGAGTACACCATCAGCCAAATGATGTAAACAAAACATTTTGCTAAATAATCATTTAACATATACAAAAGATGTGTTGGAAAAGCATCTCAATGAGGCAGACGGGATTTCTAGTTCATATATCCTTGGATAAATATTATCTCTTGATAGAATAACACTAGATTCCGTATCCATCCTAGCTCTGTTTTTCATTTCGATGGATGTAAACACTAAGAAAACGTGTTCACATCAATAAATCTATGGGCCTGGAAAAAGCTTCATTATAGCAACGTCAGTCAATTCTTCAAAGTCCTTCGGTTACTGGCTAAAAAAGTTAACAATGATCTGTAAACGAAATCACTGTTCACGCTGTCAGCCGCTACCCTCGTTAAGTTCTTCGGTTTGCGGAAAGCAGACAATGGGCCATCACCTGACTTGTATACAGATTTGTTACTGAGTCATTAAGGTGAGTGACTTCCTCAGCACTACTCACGACTACGTTTTGAACTGTCCCCGTGTCTGACCTCCTAGAGGTATTCACTCCCTGAGGCAAAGCAAGACACTACATGGGAGGAGACGGGAGAGAGGTGGCTGTGGACAGAACAGAGAGGTGAGGGGCCGGCTTCTCACAGGCACATTCTTAGGCGAACCAGTGATGGGGAGAAGCTGGGTACCGGGCGTGGTTTTCCTCGGAACAAACCATGTCTGTGAGCTGTGCTCAGCTTCCCCCGTGACTCCAGAACTGCCGCAACCCCTCCAAAGGCAGCCCCTCCAAAGGCAGCCCCCCACCGCCCCGGCCCTGTCAGCCGAGCAGGTGGCTCCCTGTTACCCCACTGACGGTGAGACTCTGTCAACAGCCTTGCGTGCTCTCCACGTGCTATAGCTTTGGAGGAAAGGGGCCAGGTCTGAGCCTAGCACCAGCCTGCTGGGAGGTCACTGCCCCCCTGGCCCACCTGTCGGGGTGGTACTGGCCTGTGGCCCCCACAGGGGTGTCTCTAGGGGATAAAGGTGAGGCCGGTGGGACTCGCCTGCCCAAGTGTGTGAGAAGTGTCCTCTGAGGTTCACCTTGAACGCGGGACCGAGGCTTTGTTTTTAGTGAGGCAGGATCAGTTTCTCACAGCCAAGAAGTGAACTGGGCCTGGGGCGCTGCTCGGAAGTCGTTAGTGGAGGTGGCGTGCAGGGGCCTGAAACCAGAAAGCTCTGGTGGCAAGGTGGAGACAGGCCCAGACCTGCCTTGGCCTTGGGAGACGGGGCCGGGGCTCTGCAGCTGCCAGCAGCCTGCGGGGCCTGGGGCGAGTCTCCTGCCCTGCCTGGGCCTCAGCGGGGGGTGCGCCAGCCATCTCCATGTCCCTTCCAGCTCACACGCTCTGTTCCAGGGCTCTGGCCAAAGCAAGATGATGCCCAGGTCAGAGACTGCTGGCCAGCGTCAGGTGAGGTGGCAGGGAGGCAGGCAAAGGGTCACGGGCCAACGCACACACCAGAACCAGAAGGGGATGTATGCACACCCACACACTCTCTCTCACACGCACGCTCACGCACACACACGTGCACACACGCACGCACATGCGCACCTCCAGAGGGCTGGAGGCTCACAGTCCAGACGACTCTGCCTGCAGCCTGAACCGGACGGTGGGGAACGGAGAGCTGCTTCTCGCTGTCTAGTGTTTGATGGGCGCAGAGTTTGGGAAGATGAAAAGTTCTGGAGAAGGCTGGCTGCACAACAGTCAATGTCCTTCCTGCCTCTGAACCGCACACTTAGAACCGGTTTCGATGGTAAATCTGGTTTTCTGTACACTTTGCCACGACTGAACAACAACGCTCCGAAACCTCAGTGTCACCTTGAAAGTTCTTTCCCTCCAGAAGCCGTCTTTGAAACTCGCCTCCCGGCCAGGGTGGCCCCATAGCCCTGAGCTCTGCAGTGACGGACCCCCGGGCCGTGTCTTATCTTGCTCTGGCATCTGGCTGGGAGGGGCTGGCATTGGGATCGCGGTGAATCATGGCAGACACAATGCTGTCTACTCAGGGACAATGCTAGGCCTGCGCTCACTGCGGCCCCTGCTTCTCCTGGTCCGGCTTTCTCCGTGTTTGCTCAGGCTCTGAGTTCTCCCCCCAGCTAGGTTCCTACCTGTCTCAGCCTGGGCTGCTGTCTCATCTCCCCTCCCACTTGCACAGGACACTCTCACACTTAAGTCTGTGCACAAAGGACTTAGGAATGCTGGGCGTTCGCACTGGGGAGTGGCGAGTTTGGCCAGACGATCCCTGAGCACCCCCTGCGCCCCCCACTGACGAGCTCAGAATTCTCTTCCCCCGTGACACCGTGTCAAGTCTCTCTTCACCCTCCCCTTGCAGAAGAGCAGAGCGCACAGGCTGTGGGGTGCTGGCCGCTCACCTCTGCTCACGAGAGCCAGCTGTGTGCTTTTCCCAGCTCTGCAATGGCACCCTGAGGTCAGCCGGGGTCGGCATATTTACACCACTACATATCAGGGCCTTTTCCGCCCCCACCAGAGAGCTGGATGTCAAATATTTGCCAGCACAGCACTGGGTATAGGTATTAAATAAATTATTTAAGACCGATGACGGCCATTTCAAGACTTGCTAGAGACACTGCATACCCTGGATCTCAGAAGACTGTCAAACTTCCCTGTCCAGAGACTTCTCATTCTAAAGTGATGGCCCACGGAGGTCAGCCCTCAGCCACCTGTGCGGGAGAACGGCCTGCCGGGAGCCAACAGCGTGCAGGCCCTCAGCCTGCGCCCTTTACCCCACACCCAGCTCTCCTAGAGGGACCCTCTGCAGGGGCCCCCTCCCCCTTCCCCTCAGGACCCACGTTCATTCCCTCATGTAATTCTCTTAAGAACTATGTAAGATCGACATGAGGCGGTTTTCCTGGTGTTTCAGGTGGGAAAACGGCCCTAGAGAAATGAAATGAACGCAGAAGGCCAGTCTGCTGTGGGGCTGGAGCTAGAACCTTGTGGGGCTGGCTGTCTAGGGGAAAGCGTTCAGGGCTGCCACGCGCAGCTTCTCAGGCTGTGCACTGCACGACTCCAGGAGACGCAATTTATTAGAGACCTCAATTTATTCAACTCCTGAGGCTATGAAACAGGGAAGCCTTGAGAGATTAGGTTAAAAGCAAGTTAAATCCCTATAATCATTGGGATAAATTCTTCTTACTGCTATACTCTCATTTCCTATGCTCTGTATTGTGTAGTTATTGGGAAGCCCAACTCCCCTGCTAATTGTGGGGGCTCTACCCGCCTTCTGCTGGCATTTCCGGGAGGAAGGGGAGAATTTGAGCTTTCAGTGAAAACTTAGGAACCTGAGATAAAGCTTTTATGCAATGTTTGTGCATGTTTCTTAATTTCTAATATAACAGGTTATTTTCACTTCTGTAGACTGAAATGGAACAATTTGCCCCAAGTTGAGGCTGAAGAGGTCTCAGAGACCCTCAACCTTAAAAAGGCAAAAGAGAGGCCCACCCCCACTCAGGGGGGTCATTTTGGGAGTGACCTGAAGTTGGAATATGCTCCTCAGCAGGTGGGGAAAAAAAAAAAAAAACCCACAAAGAAAACAGATCCTAGTTCTAAGCCGGGGACTTGCAGTGGGAAAAGAAAATCGAGTTAAAGTCAAACACTTCTCATTTTAACCAAAGGGGATTTGAAAAAGGTGTTTATAAGGCCGAATCCTTCCATCCTTCAGATACTCCAGGGCACTTCCGGAAATGGGTTGAAAAGGCCGAATCATCCTGACATTCTGAAAGTCAAACTCACCCTCACTACACTCAGAGAGCCTTTTGCAGCCCACCCTGGAGGGTGACTCTGGCCAGTAGGCAGGGGGTATTCAGAGGACATCAGATATGGGGTCTGGTGACCTGCTGGCCCTCTAGACCAGGGCACGGCCCTCCCTGGGTGGTTCTGCATGGGCACCAGAGGCTGTGCTTGCTCGATCCTCAGAGGAGGGCCGGCCGGTGGGCACTGGATGCAGGAAGCAGGGAGGGCCCTGCCTAGGGCAGCTGCAGGAGTTGGTCACTTGTCCACATACTCCCTGCCCTGGCCCCTGGGCCAGGCTCCCCACAGACACCCTGCTTGCTGACAACATTTCTTGGGGGGCTGCCACTCTTCCCATCCTGTAGCTGACCTCAGATCACAGCCCAGGAAAAAAAATGCTTTTCCTTAGGAGGTGAGGGAAGGCACTGCTCTTCCTGTCCCCAGAGGCTCAGTCTTTCTGCCCCTTTAGGAAAAGAGTGGCCTGGAAGATGAAAGCAGCGCCCCCCCGCCCCGGTGTCAGAAGGGAAGAGTTTAAAACCTGGGTCGCACTTGAGAACTGCCGGACCTTGGGCAAGCTTCGGCACTGCACTGAATCCGGGAGACCCTCAGATGTGAAATGGATCATTCATTTATGTATGAGAAAAAAGTAACTGTAAGCTGCCAACAACTGTAACACATCCTGAGTGCCTGGAGGTTACAATGTAAAAAAATAGCATGCGTCACAGAATAGATGGGACACTGCGCGTAGGCTTTCTGAGCTTCTCTTTTTGTCCACAAAGGACAGCAACAGTACCTAACAGGCTGCTGAGAGAGCTGAGCTGATCGGTCATGACACTTAGACATCCCCTAGCCCAGAGCAAGCACGATGGAAGCTTAGCTGTCATCTTCACATCATCACCACTGAGGCAAGGGCCACGGGAATTTTTTTGTGACCTCAGAAAGATCACTGTAGGGGGAAAATATGGCAAGCAGCACATTTTCATGGAAAGAAGCAAGCGTTTGGAGGCAGCTAGACCCAGGTTTCGGTCCTGGCTGAGCTTCTTACTTTAGGGAAGCTACTTTAACCCCGTGAGCCTGATTCCTTTACGGTGAATGCGGATGAAGATACATTATCACACTGGCTTATTTGTAGGATTAAGTAATGACTATCTAGTCCTTGGCACACAACAGACAATTAATAAATGCATTTTGTCATGTGGGTACTGAGTGCTTTTCCTAAACACTGTTTGGAAATGATCAATGTCATCATCATCATCATAGTTCAAGAAAAATCATCCCATAAAACAAAAGACCCAGAAAAGTAATGGCAAACAGTGCTATGCTGTAGGCTTGAAATGTCCTCTATCCATGAAAACAGCTTCTGAGGGAGACGTGGAGACGAAGGTGCTTGGTTTGGGAAAGCCACCACGTTTGAATCTGCTCAACTCACAGCCGTTCCCTTTTTGACCCAGCGGGACCGAGAATCAGGAATGTCAACCATGCTCTGGTCTTGGCCCCATAAGTCATCGATGACCCCGGGTGGGGCCAACACAAACGGGGCAGCTGAGACAGAAGGAAGGACATAGTGGCTGCAGACCCAGGAGTGCACGGGGGCTCCCGTGAGGTCCGGGAGTGCAGAGGTGACTCGGTGGCCCCATGGGGCAGCTGCGATCTCAACTGGGCTGACCACTCAGCCCCTCAAGTCTCATACTGAGCAAGGATGCCCACTTTTCCCCATAAGCTCTTTGCCCTTTCAAGTCAGACCGCATGGCCCATTTTGTGAACACAATTTCCTTTCATCTCGCTCACACCTACCCACACCCCTCCACCCCATATCTGACGCTCAGGTCCTCGAGGCTTTTTCTCTCCTTGCCAACACCGCTAGGTCCCTGCACCTCTCCCTCCAGACACACCCAGCCTGTCTAGGGGCTTTGGGACCCCTGGCACCCACCTCTTCTAGAGTACAACTCCCTTGTAAACAACAAACAACCCCCTAAGCAGAGCCCCGCCTCCCCCACTGCAAAAACTCAGGTCCTGGTGAGCAAATAATGAAGGTGAGCTCTCTCCACCAAGGCCGGGAGTGGCACAGACAGGTGAGAACCGGGCTTCACTCACCTTGACCTCCCAGTATGAGGTGCAAGCGCAGCAAAATAAACATTTTAAAAGATCGTAAGGGCTAAAATAAAACATCTAAATCTAGCAGTCTTTCCAAACAAATGCAGGAGCAGCTCTGCCCAGCTGATAGGCGCCTGACAGCTGCGGCTCTGTGGGGAGGGACACTCACCGGATTTCACCCTGAGCTCCCCCAAGCAGCCATAGGCATCGGTGAGCTTTCCATACTGGCCTCTAATGACCTCCTTCTCCTCCGGAGCTGGGGAAGAAACACATCACAGACATCAGCTGAGTCTCCCGTTGGAGTTCACTCGCCGCAGCCTTCCAGTCGGCTCCCCACCCACTCGAAAAAGAAAACGCAGCGACAATAGCTCGGCCCCCAGTCATGGGTGTGGAGGTTTCACCATCAGCGAATCACCAAGCAGCAGATTCAAACCTCCCCACGAAAACCTTGTTCTCCGGAAGCGCCCACAGCTTCCTGGGGGCTGGCCAGAGGCGCTGGGTTTGAGCCTGGAGCAGGTGCCTTGGGCCTGGCCCTGTCACTCTCCACATGCTCAGAAACAGGAGTGAGTCATCGTTGCCAGCTGGGGAGGGCCTTCCTTCCTGAGTGTTGTCCACTGGAGGCTTCCTTGTGCAAGTGCCCACCACCCCTCCCCCAGGGACCTGCTAGCAGGAGGCTGGGTTCCTGGGTGCCCCAGGTCTGCGTGCAGTGAACCCGAAGGCAAACTGCAGGAGCAGAGGGTTTCACTGGGTGTCAGCAGGACTGTGTTCCTTTTGGAAGCTCCGGGAGAGAATCTGTTTCCCGGCCTTTTCCAGCTTCTAGAGGCTTCTGTGGCCCCTGCCCCGCTGGCCCCTCATCAAAGCCGGCAGTCGGGTCACTCTGCTCTGCTCCAGCCTTCACTTCTCACCCTCTGCCCCGCTCCCGCCTCCCTCTCCCATCTCGTAAGGACTCTTGTGAATAGGCCCGGCCCACCCAGATCACTCAGGATGACCTCCACGTCCCAAGGCCCTGAACTCAATCACAGCTGCAAAGCCCCTTTCTCCCCGTAAGGGAACGTTAACAGGAACTGGGGATTAGGAGGTGGATGTCCCAGGGACCCACAGACGGGTACGACCCACTTCCACGAGCCCACAGCTCGGAGGACGGAAGATGAGGGGGATGAGCCATCCTCTCTGGTCCTCGCATCTGCTCCCGGAGAGATGAACCGCATCCTCTGCCCAGAGGCGATGCCAAGCCCACCGACTAGGGCCCTCCCTGTGTTATGGGTCTATGAAGTCCTCCTGGAAATGGATCTGCTCCCTGCACGAGGACAAATCCAACCTCACAGGTGGACACGAACATCACTCCTGCAGGCATCACTCCGTCCACAGCTGCTGCGGCGGGCAGAGCCAGGAGTGGCAGACAGGCCTCAGTTCAGTGGGCAAATGCAAGAGAATAATCTTGATACAAAAAATATATATATAATTCAATCCTCAGAGCTTTACAGAGATGTCTAACGGAACCCTGAAGCCTCAGCTCCATCTGGTTCCCGGCTTATTAACCATACAGCAAGGCCTTCTTCATACGTCATTCACATCTGTGAATGATCCTGAGAAGCAGAACAACAGGAGGAGACGTGTTCAAGTCCACACTTCAGAGGTGGGGACGTGGCCACGAGGAGAAGCTGTGGAAACAGACGGGTCCGCTGTCCTGCTGGATCGCAGGTGACAAGGGCGCGCACCGCATCGCCCCGTCAGAGGGAAAATCAAACAAACACAAACTAAAAAAAAACAACAACACTTTTCAGCTTCATACCTTAAAAATGAATGAGCACCACACCACAGGGCCACCTGGTCCCCGCCAAGTCCTCTAAACTGTTGACTCCATAATATGAACACCTCCCCACCTGCCTCTACGGTGACAACTCACATGGAGGTGTGACCCTCGAGGGTGTGACCATCTTGTGAGACATTGTTTTTCCACCACAAACAGACTAACTGAAAACAAACCAGGTGACTGAAAACAGCAAGGTCTATCAGCTCACAGTTCTGGAAGCTTCTGCGTCTGAAAGCAAGGTGTGAAGGGCCAGGCTCTCGGCCTCCCGCCTCCTGCCCGATCCTCGGCTTCCGGCTGCACCACCCCAGCCTCTGCCTTGTCTGTGTGTGTCCGTGTCTGTCCCCTCTTCTTATAAGGACACCTGTCATATGGGATTTGGGGCCCACCCTACTCCAACGGGACCTCATCTTGACTTAACTAATGACATCTGCAGTGACCCTATTTCCGACCAAGGTCACATTCTGAGGTCCTGGGGCTTGGGACTCCAACGTGGCATTTGGAGGGACACATCTGAGCCCATAACACTTGTGAATCTTTTCATGGGCTGAGCCAGTCCCTGCAAAGCATCTCTTCAATAAGCTCATTTTTTTTTCCTCAGTGTCTTCCCCTCCCAGGCTCCTCCGACCCACCCTGTGATGTGGGGCTCCCTCGGTCCCCTCGATCCCCCTCCACACTCCCAGAGCCTGGCCAAACAACTCGCTTGCCCTAAAGAGATGCATTTCCTCACTTAGGTTCGAAGAAATCCACTTTACTCGTCAAAAGAGAGCTCCCAGATCAAATGTCTACAAGCGTCAGGCAGGCAACAAGAGAATGAGGCGCTGGACGGGGCTGTGGGGGACCAGAGGGCATGCACCCCTCTAACAGGAGCAGCCGGTCAGCTCCAGCCAGCAGCCCTAAGGCGGACATGCCAGCCTAGCACCAGCGGGTCTCCGGCTTTTCGAGAGAAATAGGACGGTCCTGATTTTTCAGATTTGACAGTCGATCCAAATGTATTTTAAGCAGTGTGTAGGCGGAACACACACCTCTGCAGGTTGTCTCTGGCCCGCCCGCTTGCAACTTCCGTCCTTCCCTCCTTGATGCCTCGACAATAGAACATGCCTGTCTTCTACATTTCTGCTGAACTTCCTGGAGGTTTCTGCCTGCGCGAATGTTTTTGCTTCCTCTCCCACTGGCCACGAACGTCCAGCCCGCTAAGGAAAGTCCTCGCCTCCGCTCTCCCGCCCTCTTCTTCGCCTCCCCAGGAGGCAGCCATGCGGTCAGTGAGCGCGCATCTGAGAGCCGGCGGGGACCGGCCCTGAGCGAGGCACAGGGACCCAGCAGTGAACCAGACAACCGCCCGAGGCGGGCCCTGGGCAGTGGCAAGGAAGGCATACGTGTCACGAATAGATGAGTGATG